ACGTCTTCCCTCTCGAATGCCTTGCAGGCAGTAGCGACAGAACATTCTCTCCTGAGGACTAACGGTATTACGCAAGGCATGACAAGTAGGGAAGAGGTGTAATGCTCCTGGTGTTCTACTTGAGGTGGTGAGTACATGGAGCTCACACAATTCAGAAAATTCAAACCCCCTTTCGCCGGTGGTTTGTGTGGATGCATCCCTCATGACCCTTCCCAACCCTCTAACGTCGCTCGAAGTGGAATTGGGAGGAGCTCTGAGAGTCTGGGCTTCACTTGAAATCCAGGCAACATCAGGTGGAGGAATAACAAGTTCCCCCGGAGAGGTGGAAGACTGCGAGGATGGAAATCCAGGAGGAACAGGGGGTGGCGCCGGAGTACTCTTCGGTGGCTCGATATGGGGCTGAGGCAGGTTGGAATTCACATGTACCGGGCTTCGACCTGAGTCTACTTGCACGTGCACGTATGAATGCATGCCTGTCTCACCCTGCTCTGCACCTGTAGAACCTCTGCACCTTAACCCCTCATCTGGTAACTCCCGGGCTATGGCCCTGCGAACCGCCTCTTGCCTTCTACCCCTTCGATTACTAGCTTCTTGCACGTCATCTGGATCGGCGTTCATCATACGCACCCGGCACTCCTCATCCCTCCGGCGAGGGCAGCAATGGGTCGCGCAATGCTTTGCCGACTCCCAAATAAACAAAACCGACATCACCAACAACATCAACACCATTGACAACTCTAGGCTCACTGGTTCACCTGCACCTTCCTCATCTACTTCAGCTGCATCACCAAGCTCCAACTGAGAGTAAAGAGCCAAGGCAAACAACCAAAGGCCAATCCCCCTCTGCACTGCAGCTCTGGTCTCTACCGAGCCTACATCACCTGCAAGAACCTGGGTCCCGCCGTCCTCGGTGGGCATAATTTGGCTAACCTCGGCAGTCACTACAGTGGCTTGTGGGCGTCCTACAACCATACCCGGGGGGCCTAGACCTAAAAGCTTAGCCAGAAGCTCGTGTCTGGCCTTCGGCAATGCCTTCGTGAGAGCATCTGCGAGTTGTAGGTCTCCCGGGCAATGGCTGACCGTGGCTTCACCCCTGGACTGCATGTCCTTTATGAACCCCGCTCTTACCCTTAGGTGGCGCGTTCTTTGACTCCCTCCTCCTTCAGCGAGGATGACTGCGGCTATATTATCTACCAAAAGGTGTTTGCTTTGGGGACTACCCTCTAGCTCTTGAATTAGTGCTTCCAAGGACTGTCCTAACACTGTTCCCTCACAGGCTGCCACTAACTCCGACTCTGCCGTGCTGAGCGTCACAAGGCTTTGCCGTTTAGACTTCCATACAACGCAGCATTCATCATACTGCAAGACGGCACCTGTGATGGAGTGCTCTCCATGAGGCGCAAACGACGCATCTGTGTAGATCCTTATCCCATCGGCCTTGCCTGGAACCAGCGTGAGGCGATGGGCCTTCGTGTTACATAGGTATTCCAATACCCGTGTGCCTAGTTTCACAACGTACTGCGGGGATCGGGCCACTAGACTGGCCATTAGCCCTACGCTATACGCCACATCCAACCTCGTCCGCTGTGCCACCCAAAGCAATTCGCCGGTAATTCTTTGCCCCTCACGGAGCTGCTCAGGAGAATAATCCTCCGAGGGAGGAGCGTCGCGCACCCACTCCTTAGGAAGGGGTGTAGTGGCACGTGGATTTATCTTCAGACTGTGGCTTCGAGCTAATTCATCAATATAGCCCTCCTGACCTAAGCTAAACCCTATGGTCGTGCTCGTCCCTCTCCTCGTAGATATCGACTCCCAGAAACCTCAGAGGTTTATCACAGCTTGCTGTCTCAAGGTCAGTGCAATCCCACCGACCCCTTATCCACTCAAAGAACGATGCAGCAATGCAGTCATCTGCCATTATCAGCATATCGTCCACATAAATCAGGAGGTGTCCCATGCATTCTCCCGACTCCAGCTCTATCGACCAAACGTTTGAATCGCTTGCCAGTTGTCTCAGTCGCAAGGCCCCTCGCTCAGTGTTCCACGTTGCGGTGGATAGTACGCTGTCTCGATGCACGGACCACCAGCGCGGCGATTCTCGAAAGCCGTAGAGAGCTCGTTCAATCATCCAGATCTCATCAGCAGCGCAGATGCCTAACTCCGTCAACAGCTTCGGGGGCCGTACCGCATACCTCTTCTTCACATACGCCGGTATGGGCGCCAATAGAAACGCTGACTTCACGTCCAAACTATGGCATCTGCGACCCCTTCTGCCATTGTGCACCAGCAAAGCTCTCAGTGTCTCGGCTCCAGCTCCGCCCGCATAAAGTAATGTTTCCTCCGTGGTAGATGCAAAATTCCCGCACGAAACCACACGCACCTTTCGCTTGAAGGGAGAGCCCGGCTTGACCGTGCAGACAGCCTTTGCTGGAATGATCTCAACGTCCCCACTCCGGAGTATTCCCCGGGCCTCTTGGCCCCTAAGTCTCCGTATGGCGCCCATTGTCTCCAAAGACTGCACCTCAGTGGTCGCTGCTTGTCGCCACTTCTCTAAGTGACTTCTCACCTCCGCGGGGGCAACATTATGCACGACCTCAAGTGGTCCTTCCAACCTCTCGAGTAGGCCTTCGACATCAGGAGTAAACATTGCTTCATCTACACGCCTCACACGTGGTGGGCTTGCCACCTGGGGGACACCGTACATTGAACTCAGCGGATTGCCTGTTGGAACACCGATCCTCACTGTCATCGCACTCTGTCCAGTGACCTGGGCGCTATCTGGAAGAACACGACGTTCACCTCTGGGACCTATGGCCTGTGCATTATACGACTCATCTTGAGACCCACCATACCTTAGTGCCCTACACTCATATTTATTTACGACCTGAGATGTGGGTGATTCCGTCGGATCTGCTTGGGTCTCCTCCGGAACACATAAATCATCTACTTCACTCTCCACTAGAGTCTCGGCGGTCTGGTTATCAGCTTGAACGCCTTGCATACCTAAGCCTGTGCAGTCAGTGCTGGAGGCTGCTGGCGGCCAGCTGTCTACAGGAGTATCTTCTTCCGCCTCCCACATGGATTGCAAGTACATCATCTCCAAATGGTCCTCTTCATACAACTCAGACTGATGTGGTCTCCGAAGAGGCTCATGCGATGAGCTAGCCGCGGTCTGCGGCACCTGAGACATGGGTGATTCCGTTGGATCTGCTTGGGGTGTCTCCTCAGGAACTCGCAACGGATCTACGCGTCGATGACCTTGCTCCTCCTGAACCCCTGGGACCCGTATTCCTAAACCCTCAATGGGAGGTTGTGGATTACCTTGCCTAAGGGTGCGATTCTGGATTACCCAAGGTATCTGGCGCTGTGACCTATCGTAAAGCCTCACCTCTCCGGTTTTGAGGCCTGACAAAGCTGGACAGTCTGGCCTCCTAGTTCCTGGAGGATGCACTCCATTCATAATGCGAGAGGCGGTCAAAGGAGAAATTCCTATCTCAATCAAATCTTCCTCGAACAAGTATGCCAGATCTTCTGGCTCATTCACCCCCATGAACGTCAGGCGTTTCCACTCATGCTCAGCAAACCTTTCACGGAGGAACACATACATATCGGTTCTCTGCAGATCCGGTCGTGGAAACTCGCCTGGGTCCCCATTACTAAAATCCCATCCTACCAGCTGGGTATTAGAATCTGGTTGTACGTCATCCTCCAAGGATCCCTGCTCTCGGTGAGGAGAGTCTGCGTCCTGAGGTTCATCCTCAGTTGGCATTGGATCCCCTGATCCGGACGAGACTACCCTAATCTGTGGGGCTTCGGTACTTCGCGGCGGAGTGAGAAACTCCAAGCGCTGCAGCTCATTCCAGTCATCGTCTGCCAACTTAGAAGAACCCAACGGAGTATATCCCACTATGATCCAGTCCGGACCCTTCCTCACTGCATGGGGTCTCCTTGCATCGAACGTCACTACACCCTCCCTTAGGCTTTGAACCTGTTTACTCGACCAATTCGGATGCATGCATTTAACATCGTCCTCTGGGGCCTTCCATAATTCCAAGTCCCCAGGAATGCACATTGCATGATTCAGCGATCCCCACTCATTTCGAAAGTCCCGATGCACGGTGAGATTACCAGCCTTAGCTATCATCAAAGCCGTCCATGAAGGATTATCAACCTGAACCCCCTGGCGTATCCACAGGTACAGGCAACGGTTGAGGAATTTTGTGGTGAGGGGAAGTAGACCCGTAGACCTCGTCAACCCCCTTTGGCCCCCATGACAGTAGGTACCCAATACCAACTTATCCTCTACCTGGCCTCTTCGGTCCTTGGAGTGGAAAAGCTTCTCTGGCAGCATTCCCACAAGCATTCGGAAGGACTCACGGCTGTAATCGTCACAAAGGATACATTCACGCGCAAAGGACTCTGAGTCGGTACTAACATCACACTCTACAAACCGAATAGAGGTCTTAACCCGCAATCTGCGGTCAGGAGACGCACCGGGAAGAAGCGGACTAGGGCCTTCACCATTCTCGGCCTCAAGCTGCTCGAGCTCCTCCTGATCCAAGCTCCCGCTCTGATCCTGAAGAATCGGAAGTCTTGCTCCCTCTAATGCTGTGGGATCCACGGCTCCGGACCTCCTTTGAGGCTACTAGATTCCCCGAGTCAGTGATGAGCACGTGCCCATCGGGTATTGTGCTATGCGGGGCAGCATACCGAGCCTCAACCCACCTATTCATCAACTGTCGCACTCCATCAGCCGGTTGCTTAATTCGATGCAAGACTGTTTGGCCAAAGGCTGGAAGCTCTGGCTGGTTAAGTATCCGACGATTATGTGCCTGAACCGCCCAGCGTGCCGCTAGGGGCCACCATTGCACGGAAAGCCCTGAGGAGCGAAGCAGAGTCCTAATTCGTGCCTTAACCCAACCCACCGTCCTTTCAGCGAGACCGTTTGCCTTCTTGTCGGTAGGGAGGGTGTGTTGCATTCTGATGCTCTGACCCGCTAACCACTTAGACAATTGGCTTGAAATAAACTCAGTCCCCAAGTCGGTGTGCAGAATCCTAACTGGGTATCTTGCATTAATGGATAAGATCATTTTCTGGATCCCTTCCGCAACCTCAGGTCCCGACTTTCCCTTTAAAGGAACAACGTACCTCAACACAACCTGCTCTACGGGCTCCTTCAAATCCTTGATCAGTTCCCGGAGTGCCTGGGGATCCTGAGGAACATCGCCTTCCACGAGAATGCTCTGCTCCTCCTGAGAGGTGCCCTGCACTGCTTCAACACTGAACGGATAGGGAGCTCTGGCACAGCTGTCTGCATCTGGAACCTCAAAGAGTTCTCTCAACAACTCCTCTTGCGAAGCCTCAGGCTCAACACGCGTTCCAGGAACCCTTGGAGGGGCACTCAGATCTTCTAAGTCATCTAAAACCTCTGGTGGGGGCTCTGATGGTGCATACTCCGACCCTACATCTTCTAAGGGATCTGCTGATCCAGCACTTTCGAAAAGATCCTCAACCCCTGCTTCTTTCGTATCACCTTCAACAGCAGACCTTGGGATCCTAAAGGCTCCAACCAGGGCATACTTAAGGTTACGCCGTCCGGACACACACGTTTCATCCCGGCCGTGCTCCGCACTAGGGACTGGGCCAAACAAGTCGGCTGAGAGTGCGTAGCTTTGCGGATGTCGCACCCGGCGATGCTGCACCCCAACGCCCGCTCCTTCGATACACTGCCTGCAGTCGCGCCTGTACGGTACGTGGCCGTTTTGCAAATGTGCCTTCCAGCGCTCAACCTCTGCTGGCGAAGGATCATTCACCCGCTGAACCTGTGCCTCGGATCCCTCAACATTCTCAAGCGGGTCTCCCTCGTCATCAGAAGATACCACGCTCTCTGCTTCGAAGGCCCTCAACAAGGCTTCCGCTTCTTCCTCCTTAATTGACCCTTCTGAGGAAACCACACCTGGTGGACTGTCACGCTGAGTCCTGGCCTGAGTAATTCTACGATCCAGCTCCTCACAAGATGGTGCAGAAGGGGTTCCGGATAAGGCCTTCACAACCTCAACCCTAAACCCAAGGGTCCACTCTCTCCCCTTCGGAGGGGCGCGATCCTCACCTCGCACACCCAGCTCTTCGAGAAACCTGAGGTCCAAATTGGTGTCTACTTCCGTAGGTCGGAGATACCTGTCCCCTAGTGCTCCTTGGCTAAGCCCGACCTTGGTGACCCCCGACCAATCTCTGAAGGACGAAGCAACGTGATCAGGCAACCCTGCATGCTCAGCAAGGTACGGAATGCCTGACCCCCTCGCCACCGAAGCCAAAGACCAAAGGAACATATCCTGAAGGTGCAACACTTCCCTAGCTCCTTCCTGATACTTTGGGGGGGAAGAAAGTACCACCGCGATCTTACCAAGTGAAGCGGCCCACATCAGTGCCCTCCAAGTTCCCCTTGCCTTGGTTAAGTCCCAGCCCTTTCCTCCCTTCTCTAGGACGTCTGCATGTATCAGCGGCATTCCCCTTTCCTGACACCACTTAGCTATGGGGTCCTCGGGTCTCTTTCTACCGGAGCAAAGGTGTACCACCCACTTATCTGAGGCCAACAGGTCTCTTCGAGCGGCCCTCTTCAACGGTAGATCCCTAAGCACAGCCTTGCCATCATCCAAGGTGCCCCCTGGGATATCCTCTGCCAGCAAAGCCTTAACCTCATCAGGAACACCCCGCAGATACGGTTGCGCTATCAAAGCGGCCAACGCCTCACGCCGGGTCCGGGTCTTAATGAATGCCTGCAGGGCCTCAGTGGGGTCTGGTGGCTTCGCATAGGCATCGAGCTGACACTCTAGGGTTTGAATCTGGTCCCTAAAGTCCCGTAGTCGCACCTCCTCCAACTCTGATATAAGCTGAAGGGCCTGCTGCTCCTGGACATACGGACAAGTGTTCCTAGATACACCCGTATCTAATCTTCCAAGAACGGGATGGATTACCCTAAGGCCCTTTCCCTTGCTCCAGGTAATCTGGCAACCCAGACTTTCCACCAAAGCCCCCAATGGAAGGATAACCTGTGCTGGGCTCTTATCAGGGCCCGAACCTGGATCAGGCGGGACCACCAAAGTCCCTCCGGCTGTCTTCAGCCATTCTTGCCTTGCATCCCCAGCCAACGTGACTGGGACTGGCTCTAAATTGGTAAGGCCCGTATCATACGGGATCACTGCATGCGTCGCCCCGCTGTCCAGTAATGCAACCGCACTTGCCATTGCAGCAGCCTGCGAGTTACACATCCTTACCTCACAATCCTTGACCAAGGCTCGCAACTTGTCCTGATTCCCGGCTAAAGACTCAAGGGAATCCCCCCAATTCTTCAAACCAGTATTCACTACCAGCTCCCCTTCCACCCTTAGGGTTCTTACCTGCGGGTCCGAAGTCATGGCCCTAAGGGACTCCAACTGAGCACTAATAGACGCCAAAGTCACCGGCGTTCCCACTATCGGAGACTGTGCCTTAGCGCCTGTCGGGGTCGGAGCGCCCGATATGGGCGTGGCTGCGACCGGCGGGTCCTGGGTGACCACGCCCGGCGGTGGCGGCGGTACGGCTTGCTGCAAGAACCTCGCGGCATCCGCCAGCATGCTTTTTATCTGCTGAGAACTGGCATCCTGCCCAGGGTGCTCAGGAGCGGTTGCACGGCTGGCAGTTGCATCCGAAGCTTTAGCCCCCTTTGGAGCCTTGGGCTTAGCCTTTTCCTCAACCCTCATCCCAGCCTTGCAGTCCACCTGCTTGTGATTCTTGGAACCGCACGCCTTACAACGGATCGCCTTCTCTGCTTGGCTAAAGCTAGCCCAGTTGTGCTCATAGGTGCAATCAGCACCCTTCTTGCATCCATTGAACCCAGTAAAGAAACTACATGGCACTCTTGCACCTGCGCCTGCCTCAGTGGCTGGGACCTTGGGTACCGGCGGTGACTTGGGGTTTCCCTTTGGGGCCTTAGGCTGCTTAGGGGGAGGACCTGGAGTGGCCTGGGACTCAACACCCTTAACCTTTGCGGCGGCTTGAGATTGCTCCCTATTAAGCCTATCCTTATCCCTCTCACCCCTATGAGCTACAGCTTCTAGCTCACTCAACATCTGGGCATGCAGCTTCTTCACCTTATCATCATCAGGCGTCATGTCAACTTGAAGTGCAGCTCTAGCCAGGTTTATGCGGAATGCCATTTCTGGATTCTGAGAAACCACTGCCTTGGTAGCCTTCGTAAGAGCTCGGACCTGAATGGCACTATCTGGAAGAACACCCCCCAACTCCACCATGCGCGAGCACCAACGACTCCACCGACGCAAAATGTCAATAGTGTCCTGTACGGTGGTGCCAGCCGGTGGATCCGAGATATGCTTTAGTCCCAACTCACGCTCCATTAGGGTGCCCGGGCCATACACTACGAACAGCCTGCACACCAGCGCAAACAGACCCGAGGTCCTTGACGCGCTGATCTCATCCCGAACATCCTGAGGAGCGGCGGCAATTATCATGGTTTCAATCCTCCTTGACACTCTTGCCCATTTATTCTGGCTTAGCTCCGGGGTTGGTTCCGGCCTTGCTGTCAGCCTACCTAGTGGGTCCAACTTCAGGTAGTTATTATACCACTTGGTAGCTTCGCTCACGGTGATGGTCCACAGTTCTTCTGACGAGTCTGACACGTCAGCCAACGCTGGCTTGGTGGCATGAAGCCAGTCCGCGAAGGCCAGAGAACTCTCTGGACTATGTCCTGGGAGATCAGGCAAAGTTACAACCCCCGGCTTAATGACCTCAGGCCTTGTGTCCGCCTTTGGGCTGGCGAGCTCTGAAACAACACTCTGCAACTGAGCCATGCCAGACAACACCACTGTCATTGGATCCAGACTGCCCTCGACCCTTGGCACCTCCGTTGCAGCTGAAGGATTTAGTTCTGGCTGTAGGGTCCCGGGTGCGGGGTTAGGATGACAGGGAGGCTCAGGCGGAATCCGAGGGGCGTCGTCCGCTAGTTTAGCTTCATGATTAAGGTACGGCTGTAATCCAGCCGGGATCCCCAGTCCAGGCACGCCACCAGCTTGTGGACTAACGCTGCGCTCGGCGGATTGCACGGGGCCTAAACCTGAAGGGCCTAGCGGGGAGTTCGGGTTGTAGATATTACGCTGGCTTACCGGGTAAGTACTCTCGCGGGCATTTGGATCGTCAACAATCCTAAGGTTCGGAGGATGAGGAGGTGGCGGTGGAGGAGGTACAGTACCCAAATCCAAGGCACGAGGGTTTCTAGCCTGACTCATCAGAGACCCCAACCCTCTTCCAAACCACCCAAGTCCAGGGAACCCTGCTCCCGGTCTAGAGGTATGCATCCCTGCCGGCTCATCTACATCTACCCGGAGCCTCAGGCTCTGGTTTTCCATAGAAAGTGCTTCTACTTGCGCCCTGAGGCGCCTACTCTCCTCATCGCGAACGGCCATGAGCTCCATAAGCTGTCGCCGCACTTCTGCCTGCACATCACTAGACGACGTTGACGGTGGTCTCGGCGGGCTTGGAGAAGCTGGCAAACCTCCCTGATACAGTAAAGGAGCGCCTTCCTGCATCCTGCGCAGTCTCTCCAGAGTGTGGTCATCGAACAACGGAGCTTCTGGCTGTCCCGTCACTGCCGCCCGAGGTTGCGGCCCAGGCTGTCCAGTCACCGCCGCCCGTGGTTGCGGCCCAGTCTCTGCAGTTGAAGTCACAGAAGCATACTCGACACTGTCCCGAAGTCCCGGGGTTCCTGGAAGACCCCTATTGGAGCTCGTCCTGCTCACCAAGCCTTCCACCGCGGCGGGAAGCGTCTGAACAGCACGAAGAACTCCAGAGAATACCCCTCCGGCCCCTTGGCCTTGAAGACTTCCTTCGCTTCTTACCTCCGTAACCACAACACCTTGCGGGTGCCCAGGACCAACAGGCCCTGACCTGCCAGCATCAGTCTGCAAATTCGGAGCTCTCGGGCCATCACCCCGAACCCCTGTCAAGGCTGCCGTAGCATCCGCAGCTGGGCTCACCACAGGATGACCAACACCTCGTGTCTCAGTCGCAGCCACCGTGTCCGGGTGGGCCCTCACTTCACCATCAATATCATGAGATCCGCGGAGGGGAGCTGCAACCCCATTCATCAAGAGTTGCTGCGCTCGATCTCCTTGCGCCGTAGTCGCGGTTGGGCTACTCATAACCTGTTGATACTCATGAGCTCGGTCATCAGGTAGATCATGAGCGTTCGGGTTGGGTTCGCTTGCGGCCATGAAATCTTCTTCGGTGTACCAGCTGTAGTTACAGACCAGTGGGAGGAACGTCGACCATGGGCTTACGGCAAGCTTCGAATTGTTTTACACGCAACGACATGTACTGTCCTCTGGACTAGTGCTGTCTACGTCATCGGCATGCACATCTAGCGCAATTGCTGTTCACATGGAGCTCTG